CTTTTTGTAATTTTTTTTTATTTAGGTGCAGAATATTTTGACTTGGTAAAACACGTTCAAAGAGTTACAAAAGCTCCTGAAAACGTTGATAAATACCATTGCAAAAAACTACGTTTGCCTCGATTCAAGAAACCAATTGATCGTCTTATTGATCGTCTATTCGAGACGTTTTAAACAATTCGGTTTCAGACAATGATGAAGACGACAAACAAATTCCAAAGTCGCAGGATCGGTAAGTTGGGTTTTGTACCGAAATGGAATTTATTGTTTGGTTTTAGACCCGAGCAAATTTACGATGAACTAGAAAATGTTAACATCCAATTGGTGCATCATTTATGTGACATGTTTCCTGATGCTTGTCCTCGTTATATCAGAAATCTGTGTCAGAATAAAACCATGAATGATGCTGTTGTGGATGAATTAATCACAGTTATTTTTAGTAGTGAGTTGGGGCAATTTTTAGAAATTCAATTGTTTAAATATTTTTTTTAGCAAACAATGAGTATCCAAAACGAGCGCTCCCCATTCCTGACCCGGAATTTAACCCGGAAAATCAGTTTGAAATCCTCCGGGAAGTGCTTCCGGATGCTGATCCTGATTTTCTCCAGATGATGTGTGATAAATTCGAAGGAAAGCCAGAAAGTGTAGAAACTTTCATTAACGAAGCCCTGCAAAAACAAAAACAAAAGTAGAGGAAATAAAACCACAATCGTAGTAAAATAAGTGTATTCAACTTGTAAAAAAATATTTATAATTATTGGGGCTGATGATTATCTTGGAAACGACCACGTTGTCTCCCCATCTGGTAATAAAACCAATCAAAAATATTCATTAAAAAAATCACTTACGACTAGATGATTTAATGGAAGTTTCCTTTTCCTCTCATTGTAGTGTTCTTGCACATCTTTTGTTGGGTCATGCTTCAAGACCACATTTCCCAACTCGGCTTTAGCCTCAGCAGCCCCCTTGAGCACATTTTTCTTATTAACATCGTGAGTATCACTATATAAAGGACACAAATTGTAACGATCGCCCCCATTTCCATTAAAATGCTTATAACCGGTGACTGGTTCTTCACATATGTAACACATCGAGGCCCCACAAGAACAAGTCATTCTATTACAGCCCTCTTCCTTGAAAAATTTCACTCCACATTTATAACATTTCCTGGAATTTTGAACCACTTAAGTGAATAATAAAATTACTTGTTTTGTTACCTCAACAAAGCCTCAGTCATTTTATTCTCAACAAAAGTACGAGCCTTGACATCAGCATCTTCTTCGACTTCTTCGCACCTTAAAGGAGCATGCGATGGATTTTTGCACATCCTGCAAGACTCTTTCATGCTTTCAGGATTTAAACATGTGAAAATGCTGTAGCCTGCGGCAGGAATCGTGGCAAAAACGCAGAAAGGACACATTTCCAGCTCCTCAATTCCTGCAGATTTTATCTCTTCGAGAGCTTTCCTTTGGGCGATTTTTGAGAATAATTTCGGACTCAAAACGGCCTAAAATTCGTTTTATTCAAAACACAACAACTTATCACCACCTACTTGTAATGTTTGAAGACTCAATGATGATTCACAATTGCCGAGACATGGAAATGACAGTTTTCCTTCACCAAACGCCACTTCGACACTTTTTACAATGCAAGATTTACAAAATTTGCAATTGTTTCCACACGTGTGGATGTCACGTGGGAGAACTTCTTCGTCGAAGCAACAATTACATGTTTGCATTAAGCCGCGATTTCTCGCTTCTTCGCGTTCCAAATTTTCCCGTTTCTTCAATTCGGTGAGGTAATGGGTGATTTCGTGTCGATGACTCAAATATGCGATCTAAAAAACAGGAATAATTTTTGGAAAAATTTGGGAAAAAATTCACCTCTTGCAGAAGTGGAATATTGGTGATGTTGGTATCCATTCGTGTGGGTTTGCGAACACTTTTCATTGTTTCAGTCTCGGAATTTTGCATTTCTTCTAATTGATTGAAAGTTTTTGCCAGATTGCAGTTGTTGTCAGTCGAATTTGCGTGGAAAATCCTTTGGATCGTGCGAATCGGCATTTTATTGAATGTGTTTCTCAGGAAAACCAAAACATATTCAGTATCAGATGGATCCAATTTCAGTGTTCGTGATTTTTCATTGAAAAATTCCTCGGGATTGGGAATTATTTTCACGAAGTTTTTCACGTTGAAATCACTGGTATATTGCTTTTGTTGTGATGATAGTTGTTGTTTACGTTCGTAATCTTTCAATTTGGGATAATTTTGTTTTTGCAGGGTTTCGTTAATGAAAGTTTCTACACTTTCTGGCTTTCCTTCGAATTTATCACACATCATCTGGAGAAAATCAGGATCAGCATCCGAAAGCACTTCCCGGAGGATTTCAAACTGATTTTCCGGGTTAAATTCCGAGTCAGGAATGGGGAGCGCTCGTTTTGGATACTCATTGTTTGCTAAAAAAAATATTTAAACAATTAAATTTCTAAAAATTGCCCCAACTCACTACTAAAAATAACTGTGATTAATTCATCCACAACAGCATCATTCATGGCTTTATTCTGACACAGATTTCTGATATAACGAGGACAAGCATCAGGAAACATGTCACATAAATGATGCACCAATTAGATGTTAACATTTTCTAGTTCATCGTAAATTTGCTCGGGTCTAAAACCAAACAATAAATTCCATTTCGGTACAAAACCCAACTTACCGATCCTGCGACTTTGGAATTTGTTTGTCGTCTTCATCATTGTCTGAAACCGAATTGTTTAAAACGTCTCGAATGAGACGATCAATAAGACGATCAATTGGTTTCTTGAATCGAGGCAAACGTAGTTTTTTGCAATGGTATTTAACAACGTTTTTAGGAGCTTTTGTAACTCTTTGAACGTGTTTTACCAAGTCAAAATATTCTGCACCTAAATAAAAAAAAATTACAAAAAGATTTATAAATTTCTTGCATACCTCGATCCATGTTACGAATTAAAACACGACACAAGTGTTCCGAATTAAAATACAACACAAGAAAGTTAAAATATTAAAATAGACAAAACTGTAGGTACGAATTAAAAGAGTATCTCTAATGAAATGGTCGAAATCGGACTCGACTCTGATAATCTCATATTGTAAAAACGCCGGTAAGGGAAGTAAAAATTTTAGATAAACGCGTTGAAGGCCTTTGAATTAAGAAAAAAGATGAATTTTTGCAATTTGTGGGGAGAATAATAAAATTTTAACACTAATTATCATCTCATTCGAGTTATTGTCCAGTACTTGTATTTTTTATTTCAGTTGATTTGGATTTCAAGTTCTTGTTTTTGTTATTTTTTAATTTAAAATTCTAGAATTTTGGAAAATTTTTGAGACAATAATAGACGGAAAGAAGAAATGAAATTTTGAAAATTCAGCGTGTATCCAAAATTGTGTCAAATTCTACAAAAAACAAATTAAAATTTAAGGATTATTATTAGTTTATTTAAAAATTATTAAAATCTTTAACATGMAAGAACATCTAATTTTAATAAACCTAAAAAAATTGAATTTGATATTTGATACAACGAGAACCATAAACATAAAACAAAAAAAGAACAGAAAACAGAGAAATCAAAGAATAGAAAACTGAAAACAGAAAATATTGATGACCGAATGAAAAAAGAATAAGAAAACAGAGAACAATACATCGAGCATAAAGAAAAACCAAATAGCAAAAAACAAAAACTGAGAAGAGAGAACACAAAAAAACAGAAGAAAAGAAAACCCAGGAAGTGAAAACGAGAGGAAAAAGAGAAAATAGATAATGGAAAATAATAGTTTAAACAGAAACTAGAGAGAAGACCGAAAACAAATACAAAATTACGAAAAAAATATAGAAAAGTAATAAACACAGCAAAGAAGGATGGAGGACACAAAAAAACAAAAGAGAAGAAAAAAATATTAAACAAACAAACAAAAAAGCATAAAACAGAGAATAAAAAATCGAATAGTAAGGAGTAGGGAATAGAAAATGGCGAGTAAATATTCGAAAATAGAGAAATAAGAATTACACAACGTGATGAAACATTTTACTCTGCACTCTGCTGTTTACGCCATAACCACCGTGGTTTTACAATTACTAAACACTTTTATTGTTTAAAGCTCCATAAACATGATTTTAACGCGATAGAACTTCATTTAGCTCCACTTATGCTAATCAAATGGCAATCTAAATTTAATTTAGTTTCAAAACTGTAAAATAGTAGTCTAATAGTGTGTCAAAAAGTGTTTAAAAAGTGCTGTCAAAAAATTTGGACGTTTCATTTTTGTCATTTGACATTTTTTATGTCTATTTAATGATCTTGTATATGTTTTTTTTTATAAGTATTTAGTAAAAGTACAAAAATTTTGCCAAACTTTTTATATTGGGTTCAAGCAGAGATACTGGCCGAAGGCGTGGTGGCGTAGCAGCGTAAAGTCGTAGTGGAAACGTGAAAAATAAATTTGTGTATACAAATAAACTTACAGTAATTGCAACCACATGATCAAAATAAAAACTCATTGGTTCCTTTTAGTTTTGCTTGTGACATTTTGGTCATAAAAGTGGTCACTTTTGTGTCGTTTGCGAATAAAAAATAGTTTCTTTTTGAAAACATTTTTTGTGTTTTGCTATGGTCGTTTTTTTTGTTTATTTTATCAACAATATACAGATATAATACTTTTTATCGCCAGAACTCGCGCTCCAGGGAAAAATGCTATGTAATGTAAGATACCAGGAACATGAAAAAAATGTTAAAAAAATTCTATCTATAAAAATTTTGAAGTTATGAGAGTTTAAATTTTGCACTTTTACTCTATTTATTTCTATTGGAAAAACAGTTTTCCAAGTCAAATGTCAAAAAATAAATGTCAAAATTTTTTGACAGATAGAATGTTTTAAACATTTTTTTCATGTTCCTGATGTTCTATCTTACTTGAAATTTTTCTCTGGGGCGCGAGTTCTGGCGCACCCTGTATAGATTTAAAAAATAGAATGATTTTTGGCTTATTTAAATAAAATGTAATAATATGAACAAGGGAATAAACAACGACCTCTTTTAATCCTGAGAATGTAGTTCATTTTATTCCAGACATGCAAATGTTAAATAATTTGTGAAAATATTTAGTTAGAGTAAAAATCGGTATTTTTTTTGAAGGAATAAAGCGTCACTTTATTCCCTATTGGGAGAAAATAAAATGAAATAAAAAAAAATGTATATAATAAATAGAAAAATTTGTTTTTGAAAACAAAATTTTGGTTTAATGGACAAAATATTTCAAAATTCGGTATAGGGTAAGTCCGGGAGAGATAGAACGTTTTGTCATCAGTCCTAAAAACAAGCAAAATAATTTATAATTTTTTTGATTTAGTTTAAAGTATTTTTGGCTGGAATTGTAGACAATTGTTTTCTATTTTATTGTTCTAATAAATCAGTGACGGATTAAATGCCAGCTGTTGGAAACGGTAATGCTTCACTCTATTTTCTTAGTATTAGCTTACGTTTTTCCTTTGTTTCATCACCTGATAGCAAACTCACTTTAAATAGAAAATGAAAATTGTTTCTTTGAATAACTTAATCAAGTAATAGAGGTGACAATTTGCTCTCATTTGTAAATTTTAAGGCTAACTTAGTATTTTAACTAAAAAAAAATTCTAACTTCATTAATCGTTGACCGATTTTTTTGAAATTTTTATGTTTTTATTAATTTATTTTAAGTAAGCCACCGCTGGCAAAAAAAAACACAAGAAGTGGTTTTTTTTTGTTTGACAATTTGTTTTTTTTGGACCACTTTGAATCAGAAAATTGTTCATTACGGCCCTGATATGGTTAAAATTGTTCTAAATTTTGCACTGATTGTACATAAACAACCAATCTGTCGAATTATGTACTTTTGAAATTTTTTTCGACGATTTGGCAAGCGGTTTTAGCCTTCATTTGTAAATTTTGGGGCTAGTTTAGCACTTTAACTACAAAATTGCTCTAACTTCGTTATTTATTAACCGATTTTATTTAAATTTTTAATGTTGGCAGTATTTTATTCTAAGTGAGCCACCGCTGGCAAAAAACACAAATCTTTGGTTTAAAAATTAATTTTTTTTTTGAACCATTTTGAGTTTTTGTGTCAAGTTTTGCACTAATTGTATGAAAAGAATCAATCTGCCGAATGTGGATTTTTGAAAGATTTGGCAAATATGTACAAATTTTAATACACAATACTATATATTATACAGTGTTATGTAAATCTTCTAAAAATGTCATATTTTCACCGTTAAGACATTTGACAGTAAAGAAAATTAATTAAAGTAAATATTTTTTATATTTTTATATTACACTAAAATCAAAAATTTTAAATATTTTTATTTTTCTTGT